GGGGGGGGGGGGGGGGGGGGGGGGGGGTGCGAAACAAAAAAAAATCGCCACCCCTCCCTCCCCCTCCAACCCCCAAGGCTTGGGCCTGGATACTTTCATAGCTTACCTAAAGCCATGCTAGGGCTTCCTCAGAGTCTCAAAATCTTAGAAGTTCTGGAGAGATCTCCCTAGATGGTCTCCAACCCTTCCGTTGATCCTGACCCAGGCTCTTTTCGGCGTTCCTTCTTCCTCATGTACTTTTGATTACCAGCGAGAAGTAATGTAGATATGCGTAGTTGATACTGTCACAGTGAGTAATACCCTTCACCGGCTTCCTTGTACATTACTCTTTTCATTGGTTCCCACCCTTCCCAACGCTAGATTTGCTACTTCAAACGGCACCTGCAGAACAGGTGTAGGCATTTGTAGATATCATCGGTGAATTGCAAAGCCAGGGCATCACAGAATTCGTCATTTGAAAACATGGGTTAGCAAAGATGGTACCAGAACTCGAACCAAATATACTATGGAACATGACAAGTAGCAGCCCGGTAGCATGGCAAAACCATTACTTCAACATCGTTCATAAGGGAGGAACACAACATGTGCACTCGTTTGTATGCCATGTAGTTAAGACTACTTGGGTCCAGCACCAGATGCGGTTTATCAGTTCCTTTTGCTATATTAAGAGAAACCTTACCAGATATCAGTGTATTAGGGGGAGGTCTTTTCTAATACACTTAATACAGCAAATAAAAGTACAACATGTATTCGGCTATAGTCTCTAGATGCACCAATATATTGGTATGAGTCATATAATGCATATTGTACTGGAAGCATGCAGCTTCATGGGCCAAAATATGAAAAACCACCCAAAAACACTGTAATTTGCTGCGTTTTCCGCTGCTTGAGGTAAGATATCATATGTGTATAACGCGGTCAACTGCACCCAAGATCTGTCAAAGTAGATTGTCCGGGGGAGAGGATTGGCGGGTTGGGGGGTATCCGTTATACTATATTTATGTAAATACATATATATGTAGGTGTCTTGATTAACGCCATGAAGTATGTCGAGTCCGGCCCCTTCACTAGGATCAGTATAACTCTGAATTGGAGGTTCCGATATCCATATTCTCTATGCTCTTGGTCCTGGCTGCAAATGTAACTGCGGCCCGAATTCCCTTGATTTTGTTTCCATTCTAGAAGAGGCCTATTCCACGAAAGTGGATATAATCACTGGGATGAGATTTTGGAGAGCTGCGGGGTCACATTTTCATGGCAATCAGTATGCATGCAGCATGACCTTACCCTCCCAAAAAAACCTGGGCTGGGTGTGGATGGACTCAATTGACAGTTGTGGCATTGCATCCAAGACTTGTCATATTACAAATTATTGGATTTGGCTATGCAAGGAGGCTTCCGCAACAACTGCAATTCACAAATGCTTATATGTCGCATGAGAACTCCTACACAGCCTCTTGCCTTAGTGCTTCCCTGAGCCTGAACTTCTCAAAGCTTCCATGAAATATTCTCATATTCTATGCCGATCTGGCTGTGTTTATTTGCACATACCCATATAAATCTTGCCACCACCAATATGGATATGGCAACCTATACAAGTCGAACTGGCCATATTGGATAGGACTCGCTCGATGTACTTAGCGGCATTTATCGAAGTGCTATTATGTCACACTAGTTCTGCTAGGGAGAATTTGTGCTAAGCTAACTAGGATAAGGGCGAACTGCAGCATGAAGCTTTGATGACAGAACCTTCAAAAACTAGAGAAAAACTCTAAAAAGGTGTAAAAGATATTAAAAACACACACACACACACACACACTGAAAATACAGACCGCCACGGCGCACCACACTCCGCCCTAAACACTCAGAGGCCCTAAACCCTACAACCCCGCCAGCAAACGAAACCCTAAGCCCTGAACACCCCCAAGCCCTAAACCCTGAAAATCCAAAAGCCCTAGACCCCAAACACTCCGAATCTCCAAGCCCTAACTAAATCCCAGAAACGTCCCCAGCCTTAAAACCTAAACACTGCCAAACCCTAAGCCCTAAACCTTGAACCCTAAATCCTGAACCCTAAGCCCACACTCTAAACACTCTTAAACCCTAAGGAACACTCCCAAACCCTAAGAACTAAACGACAAACGTGCGCAACCCTAAACCCTAAACATTGCCAAACCCCAAACCTTGAACCCTAAACCCTGAACCCTGAACCCATACGTTAGACACTCCAAACCTTAAGCCCTGAGCCCTAAACCCTCAAGACTCAAGACCGTTGAACGTAAAGCCTAAGCCCCAAACTTTGAATCCAAATACACGTGCGCCTGTTATCCGAATCGGTAGTGCTTAAATTGTAGCGCTTGAATCGGGCTTGGCGCGTGTTGGGCAACCGTTTTCCTGGCACTGCTTGCTTTTCCTCCTATCGGCAGATGTTGGTAGTGGAGTGGCGCCAGCGGTGCCAGCGGCGGCAGCTTCAGCTCGAGTCGTGGTACTTAAGATCAAGTGTGGGAAATCGAAGCGTATCTTCTGCGGTTGATGTCGTATTCGCCTTGGTCAGGATCATGATGATTAATTTTGTCAAGGCACGTTGCTGTGGCTACTGCGACTTCTTCCGTGAGCGCTTCTGCTCGGGCTCCTGTTTTCTGTCACTGCTGCAAGCATTTATGCTTGCCTACCGGCAAGGTTTTTACATTTCTGCAGTGTTGCATGGCCTGCCGCCGTTCAGTTGTCTGCTTTGTTCATTTTGGCATCCAGCCAATCTCTTTGTTGTCTCTGCCAATCACTGCACAATTGCTGTGATCAATCCTGCCCCTTGCTTCCTCTGCTGGAACAACTTGGGCAGCGGCTGCACGGTGCGAAGTGGCTTCTGAACTTCTACAAGCCAAAATGATTGCGGTGATCCTTCCATCTTCTCCAGACATTATCCGATACCGCAAGCAGTAAGATAAGTCCTAGGGTGGCTCCAGTCTAGGCAAACTAGGTATTTCGCTGCGCCTCATCCTGTCGCACTCCGCACATAGGCACGTTGTGCATTCAATGAGCTGCAGCGTTGGGGAAGATACCCCTGTGGGGGCTGGGCGACCCACACAGTTAGGTACATACGTAAACATATCATAAGATGGATTTCATGGAACTTCAAGCAGTGTGGACAGGTGGCCGCCTGTCAACATAAGATTGTTCTGTTACATGTGAGTATTCAATGGCTGGTCCACAGCTCCAGGGGCACGGCTCTGCAAGCTAGCAAATCGGGACATGAGCCGCTGCGACTCCAGACCTTCAGGAGGGCTTCTGAATTCAGTCTTTCTGCAGCAGCATGTTGCGTCTATCGTCATGAAAGTGACGCCTTTGCCCCTGAGCATGTCCATGTCTGCCCCCGGCAGTCCTGGTGATGGCTTTGAAGGGACAACCAAACTTGGCAAAGGCCGGGCGTGCCTGCGATGAGCCTACTGGTTGCACGAGCCGTTGCCAACTCGGAGCGCAGCCTCTCGCTATCTCCCGTCTCCAGCGGTTAACAAAAGGATTGTCTCTCCCTTTGGGCAAACGTGGCCTCTCAAAGCCGTTTGCAGCTTCCGTCACGCGTGTCGCTGCAGATCCCAACAGGCGCTCCTCAGCTGGTCCAAGAAAAATCCAGGGTCCAAGGTCGGAGTCAGTGGCTTGGGGACAGGCTGTCTCTGGCGGCATCTCGAAAGACGTGGCATGAGACACCCAAATTTGCCAAAGCAAGCCAAGGAGAACCTGAAAGCCCATCAGAAAGTGGTTGCTTCAACATGCTTCACAACAACACTTGGCCGAACGTCCGAGTCAAGAGCCCATGTGACCCCATGGCACAAACCCGTCATCTTCTTGAAAAAAACACTTACCTGCAGACCTATGCGGATTCTAGCTTCTCTCCTGCCTTATTGTTGCAGTCTCACCTTGCCTTGTGTATTGCATGGTAGCATGCTAGCGGCCTGCGCTGTCAGCTATGGGCCCGGAGATCACAGCACAGATACAGATGCAAACACGAAGAGCTTCAAGCTCCCGTGACAGAATGCAGCCATTTTCAGAAAACAGGTATGGCTCAGTGGACAGCTTATCGGATCACGTTTCGTCCGGGATCCACAAGATCACAAATTGATCAACATTCCTTGAGTCAACAACTCAGACGTATGCACAGCAGCAGAAAGTTGAGCGACATCGTGGCTTGCAAGAAGTCAATGTACTCCGATGATCATCTTGCGATTAAGGTGATTAAGAAGGTATGCCACCCATTCTGCCAGCTCCTCAAGTTTGAACTCTCAGCACCATGAAAGCCACACACGTGCAAACTAGTAAGCAACGAAACAGTACAAATCAGTAGCTGGAAGGATCCAAGGGCAAAAAGGGACAAAGGGTGGAAGGCAACTGATGTCAGTGGTGGGTTCCTTTTGCCCCACATTGAAGAGAACATTAACAGTCGGGTGCAAGGGAGACTTCGCTCCGCAGTTGTGTCCGAAAGCTATGTTCGTCAACAGCCGCGAAAAATCATTCAACTGAGCCACGGGATCTCCCTGCCTGAGTGATCGACCTATGCGCATACCATCTGACGGGCTTACTTTGAGACTTTGAGAAATCAAAGTACTTCAGGCCTGTAAGCCCGCACGGCCGTATGCTAAGAAACTCGCTAAGGGGCAGCGCGGGATGTGCTTTGAGCACGGTCAAAAGAGAAACTGCTATGACTTTGCGGAGTCAGTTGCAGCAAGCTAGGTAGCCATATAGCTGCTAACGATACTGAGCCACGCTTCCGAAGGACAAATGGTGCATTGGTTGCGCACGTCAGGTTCATTGCGCTGACATTGGCAATTCGACGGTGCGGCGCAGTGTCAGGTAAGCCAAATGTAACGTGAAGTCCGCAGTTTGCTTCAGAAGTTGCTACTGCACCTTGCCGCCATTGAGATAACAAAATAATCACAAGAGTTTGACTCCTAATCTATTGTGGGCGGATCACGTATCCATGGGCGGATGTTGCAGCAGAAGCGCCAGCAGGCGCAGAAATCGCCACAGAGCCAGCCTGCAGCCAGCCATCTCTCTGCACTCATTTCAAAAGTGGCTCCTGTTAAATCGACTCCACAACATGGGCTAACGCAATGCCTAAATCTTTGAGCAAAGACCCGAAGCGGTAGGGAGTCAGGGTTGGGTAGAGCGCCTGCACAGCCCTCTCCCACTCCTCTCGCTGGAGGACGCCGTCATGGTTCTGGTCGATGCGGTCGAAAAAGTCCTCGTAAGTTTAGAGAAGGCATTACAAAGACGAGGACTCCTCTGACTTGGCTCCAGGCTGGACCGCTTGCCATCGGGGCAGCCTGCGGCACAACCTGCGGCGCGGCCAGGAACATACCTGCGCCAGGGCCACATTGCGTCTGCTCTCAGAAGCAAAAAACTGCATGTATCGCCTTGGGTGGTGGCTGGCATGTAAGGATACCTTCCACACAGCTGCTTTTAAATCCTTTGCAAAAAAATATGTTTTTGCCTGATGTTATGGACTCGGGCCCTGGCACAGGGGCCGATGCCACCTGAATGCAATGTGCAACAGGTTTAGGCTTAGACCAGGTTGGAGTGAGAAGTCCGTACCCCAGCTGTCGCGGGAGAAACTCCAAGCCTGCGCTGCGGGCGTCTGGTAGGGCATCAGGTGCGCCACTGGCACAGGCACTGGTGCTGTGCCAGCCCTGCTTGGGCGAACCAGCGGAGCCTGCGGAGGAAAGGAGAAAAGAGAAAGATCGAAACCGTTCCGATGGCTTCTGCGGGCCTGCAGCTCCAAATCGCCGCTAGCTGGGCTGGCAGATGCGACCTCGCTGCCAAGAGTCCAACCACATAAGATTGCACCTAGCTACCGCGATGCAATTACTGACTTCTCGGACGAAACTAGCTTGTAAAACCCATCATTCGGAAAGACACTAAAAACCAATACCTTGGCTCTGCTTCCCTCTTCGCCCCACAAGCCATGCCCCCCCCCCCCGGCTCCTCGCCGTCGCGTGTTCGCGTGACCTCATAGTCTTTGCCCATGCTGTCATGAGGCCGTCTCCTTTGCCATCACGAGGTCAGGACCTTGACCTGCCCAGCGCGCTGGTTCTTGGAGAGCTCCCAACCTGCGGGCTCCAGCAGTAGATCCCAGCAAAGTCAGGCAACAACAACCAAGTGCCTGCGATGCCGGCCACGCAGATGGCCAGGAGTGTGAGCAGGATCTATAGCTTTCGGTAAGATTGCCATGTCAAGCACAAGATGCTCTTGGCTTCAGACCAGAATCCAAGCAATGGCAGGGAACCCATCAGATGGGGTAGCCTGAGATGCTACGAAGGAATAGAGCGACAGTAGAAAGAAGAAGCAGCCCACAGCAGCGGCAAAGAAATGACCCGCTGTTTCCACTTGGCCAGCGGCACTGGTGTCGCCCGTTTCGACCGCCATGGCGCTGTTAGCCGTTCCAGCCTCCACCACCATGAAGCGACAAGACCCCAACTAGCAGTTGCCAACAACGAGGCTTGGGCACCAGAAAAAAATCTAAATGTTGGGATTCCAGAAACAAGACCAGCAGTCATCTGCACATTCACATGTCAGCAGTGAAATGGTGACTCTCCAGCTGTCCATGCGCAGCCTGAGGTGTTCAAACCCCAACATGGCTCATGGTCAAATGTGTCTGCAAGAATTGAAGACCGTAAAACAATACTAGTAACCCTCCGACATTTAGAGCCTGCAGCTCACTGGTTGAAAGGGCTGCTTTACTGCTAGCACAATAATATTTTAACTCAAAAAAAGTACTTACATCCTACAAGGAGATGAGCTCAGCGTGTGCCCTGGCCTGTAGTTGATTTGAGACTTCCAAGCGAGATGTGCCAACATGTTAGGCCCTGACCTTACAAGGGTGGCTATCTGTTTCGCCTTTCAATTGCAAAACTGGATACATAAACCAAACCCGTAGGCTCAAAAGAACCTTCAGCGGCATCTACTGTTCGGATCCAGGACAGGGCCGTGCTGCCCTGACAATAACTATTTAGCACTGCTGCTGCAGCAGCAAAAAAGAACAACAAGAACCAAAAAGCCAAAACTGCTGCGCATGGGACATGATGCTGGCACCCTCCTTCTGAGTGGGGCCTCCTTGGCCTTCACCAGGGATGATGGCTGCAAGCTTTCCGGCATGTACGGGCCCTGGTTGCAGCTCTTGACTCGATTTAGGCATACTCTGTAACCAGATAGCATAGCATTCCGTGTGATGATTCTATCTACATCTGGTGAATAAGCGTGGCTTCATGTACACTGTCACGTACCTTCTGACGGGGCCCCATTGGACAGAATGGCATGAGCCGCCGCAAAGGATGATCTACGTCATTGTTCAAGAAAGATCTTGCTTCTCCTGTGAGCAGGAAGGCTGGACCCTTCCGCTACAGGGACTCAGGAATACGGGATTGATGGAGATGGCGTGGAAGGAGAGAGTCCACATGCTCAAAGCACCTGGACAGACATCCTGCTAGGGCAATTCATGATTGGAACCCCTTATGACTGCTATACTGCACGAAATCGCCAGAAGAACTGCTGAAGGATATAAATGTCTTTGAGGTTGAAATCTGCATGTATAGCTCTGCCTTGGGCCCACACTGTTGGTGCAACACATTCATAGTGAGGAGTGTAGAACGTGAAGACCTCCAGAGGGCTGGAGTGCCAAACTGCGTTCATGGTAGCATCACAAAACAGTCTCTAGCACCTGGCTTCACAACATCACAGAGTACTCTCAACCGTGTTGCGCGCCCCCTTGCACTCGTCAGGCACGAAGTTGTCACCAGTCTTGCGGCAACCTCAACTTCATTTCATTTAGAAGCTGCTTTGTGTCTGTCAACCGAGCATGCGAGGCACCCTGCCACAGTCTCTTTGGCTGGCAGGTCTTGTGCTTCCATGTAAGTAGCAGGCATGCGTTGCCCCGGCCGCAGTAATCGTTGCAGTAACCAGGCTTCTTTCCGCATTCATCCCAGCAGTCCTGGCGGAAGCAGGGACCTCCTGATTCGCCTGTCTGAGAATTCTTCCTGGTTGGCATAGTTGCTTCATAGATATGAATGAATGTAAGCTGTCCATTCCTCTTGTGGTACGAGGTTAGACTCCTCCTATGCGGCAGTGACGAGCGAAGCAGTGCAACCAAAACGCCCCGCAAAACATCCTGCTACTCTGAGAAAGAAATGCTAAGGCCGAATGCTCGAAATAACAACAACAAAGAAAGGAGGGTGGCAGCATAAATAGCAAAGGAAAAAACAAGCAGGGTTTTTGCCGTAGTGAGAGTCACTATCACATGGGCAGCAACTATCTAAGCAACAATAATCTACCAGGTCGGCAGTCCTTGAAGACGTTCTGAACGCGCTCCCTTGTCACCTCGAAGTGCATGCTACGCTCTTTCTTTTGCTTTGTACAGTCATCATTTCGTACTCTTCTTCATTACTCGTGTTGCTGTCGAGACGTCAGGAACCTGAGACTCTGAGAGAAAGCCAGCAAGCAGCGAGCGAGGAGCGCACAAATTCGCCGCCCTCAGCCTTTTGCGCTTCCCTGCGAGCCGGAGATCTCTGCTACGGCTTCAGCTGCATTCCTGCATGCTTCCCCTTCTGCTGAGCGCGGTGCGCGACAGCCTTCTTGGCATTTATAGTAGCCTGTTGGCGAGTGACTAGCAGCTCACCAATCTGTTTGCTTTGTAAACCTGTCGCCTCTTCGATGCTCTGACCACCGTCCCTGTGGAAAACATACGTGGCAACCTGGAAGCCAAGAAAAGCTCTCGCGCAACAGCCTTCTTGAGTCTACCATACCTTACTCTGTGAGGCTGCCTTCTCGGCCATGTCAGTGGCATGCTCCTGCGTATCCGCATGTGCCACCGCCTTCAAACACGGCACAATGCTCAGGGACCGCTCAAAGGCAAACAGCAGAAAGAAGAGGCCCGGGCATAGGAGCCAGTTGTGGCAGCACCAGCAACCGCCTGGAAGGCAAAGGAACTCAAAGCCAAGAAAGCGGCTGTGCAGGTTGCACAGCTTGCCCGAGCTCCGCCCCTCCGCCTCAGGCCAGAGGCCTGCCTTGTTCTGCTTCTGCTCCTCTGCGGTATGGAGCCCGACCTGGTTGGAGGATGTTGCAGGCGAGGCTTCTCGACTTTTTCTGGCCCTGCCTCCATCGCAGGAGGAAGCGGTTTGGGCAGGATGGAATCCTCAGCTCACAAGACTTCATCCGCTCCACTGGTCAACTGCCAGCTGGGGGTATGGCGGCATCGGCCTACGAGAAGACACTTGTCATGCTTGCAGCATCAGTACACTAAAACGGCTCAACTGTGCTAACACGTGCTGGGCCTCCGTTGCTGGCGTGATCGGGGGGACAGGTGGCAAAGTCACTGCTTGGAATGCGCCAGGCTTCAAAGGGAGCGTTGTGGTCACAGCAGGAGCCGCTGTCGTGGCCAGCGTCAGCGCAGGAGGCAGGGTTGGAGCAGGCATTGTTGAAGCTGGAGGCGGCAGGGTTGGAGCAGGCAATGTTGACATTGGAGGCAGCGTTGTGGCCAAAGTTGTGGGCGGCAAAGTAATTGGGATGGTCGTTGGGGTCGTAATTGGAACAGTGGTCGGTGTGGTGATTGGGACGGTGGTCGGAGTGGTGGTTGGAGAAGTGGTTGGAGTTGTTGTTGGAGTTGTTGTTGGGGTAGTGGTGGCAACAGTGGACATGGTAGTAGGCATGGTGGTGGGCGGCAGCGTCGGGAGAGCGCTTGTGGTGATCTCAACAGGAGGAACGATTGCCGTCCCAGCTTTTCCTGCTGTGGCGGCTGTTTTTCCTGCTGTGGCCGCTGTGACTGCAATTGCAGGGGCCGCAATGACAGGGACTGGCGTTTTTGATCCTCCAGCGACCACGACAGCCTTCGCCACGGCGTCTCCAACATCCTTCAGGTCCTTATCACAACAACCGCAAGAGGAAGCTCACAAAAGGCATGAAGCCAGCAAGATCAGAATTCACAGGCTTGGAGTTCCCGCCGAAGGCTGGTGCACAGGCGTCACGCACTCGTGATGGTCTGTGAGGAAAGTCGCTACCTGGCATGATGTAAACCATGCAAACACAGAGCATAGCATTAGCCATTTCACTTCTAGGGCATCAGCATCATGGCACTCTTTGGCCATGTCAGTGTTGTCCCTGTGAATACTCCAGGCAGGTCGGAAACTGATGTTTTGCATGCTTTACCCAGCCTTTTGCAGCAAGCATTGCCAAGACCACAGTAGGCGCACAAGCCATTCCTCAAAGAGATTATTCGCTTGAATTGGAACCACTTAGCTCAGATTGACGAGGAGAACACCGCTTGGAGCAGGCATACCAGCAATCCTCTCCTTGGATTTGCAGGAAAAAAGGGGCTCTTCTGTTCTCCGTTGAAATCGGCTCAAAGCTGGAGGCCCAGCCAATATGTTTGAGGGGCTCGGGCTTCAGCACCGCCCCCGCTGATGGGCCGGTGACGGCCGAGTCCGCCTGGGGAGAGGAGCCAACCAACCTTTTCCTAGTGGAACGTCCCGGCCAATTTTTGCAATCTTCTTTGGGTGTCTAGCGGTTGCCCTGGCAGCCTCTCCTGCTGCGGTTGCCTCAGAGCGGTTCCAAAGCAACAGAGTGCTCGTTAGGCTTTGACGCAGAGCCACCTGATCCACTGTTGCTTTGGCAGTGACAGCAGCATCGAAGGCGCATTTCCTTTCACGGGCGTAAAGCGGGGTTTCCTTTAGTAAAGCAAACGTCTTTGATCGAGCCTGGCAGCTGCCGTGGCGTCGGCCGCGGAGAGTCCCCAGGTCTTGCCAAGATGTGTAGCCACCATCGCAGCCTGCGCGGCTGATTCCGCGGTGCTGGCCTGCACACAGGAAAAAAAATCTTCTTTGTGGACCGTGCGGCTAACGACGTAGCCAGGCCTCCTCTTGACCCGCTGCTGAGCACTTGTCATAGACCTCGTCGGGGATCGGGAGCTTGGCTGTAGGTCCCACCTCCGTGTCCTGACAACCAAATCAAGCACCATCATCTGTACCCAGCACCTGTACAGGTTCCTCACCTTCATGCTCTCCGACACAACGCCGTCAATCTGTCAAGACGTCATAGAACTCTGGAGGGATGGTCACATATCAAGAGACTCCCTGCCTGCGGCGGCGGAAGTTGCGTACCCTTGGCTGCTGCTGTGCCGCTCTCGCGCATGTCGCTCGCAATCTTGGAGGGTGCCAGGTCGGTGTCCCTGCCATGTGCCTGACCGCCAAAAAAGGATCCAACACGAGTCTGGTCCGTCCTGTTTTGGCGCAACAAGTCCCAGCCTGCGCGGCCTTCACAACACAGTCCACTTGCTCCTTGGGCTTGAGCCCAGCAAGTCCACCAAGTTTGCCGGCTAACCTTCCAGCCACCACCGCAGGCGCGGTGTCACCCTGCACCTGCGTCGCTCTGCCATCTTGAAATCCTACCAGATGTTCTACTCCAGTTATGGCCTCGCCCATCTTGGCAGCAGCCACGTAGGCTGCCTTGCACTGATCCTCGCAATGAGGCTTCAAGAATGTGCGGAGAATTGCTGATACACATCATCATCATCATCATCATCATCATCATCATCATCATTGCTTGTCTCGGAGGTGCATTAGTCCACGCACCTCAGGGCAAGCTTCGTTCCGTTGTTCGGGTTTCGATGGGGCGGGGTGTGGTTTGGGGCGATGGGGGAAAAACTCCTGACTGGTATCCGGCAGACTCAGGAGTAGGATTTGGCAGACCTGCTGCTCCAAAGTTCAAGACGGGCGACTGAACTGACGAATACTGACCAACAATGCTTAGGGGGAAGTCTATGCACAAGTGCCAAGCAGTTTCACCCAAATGCATGAAATACGAAGCTGAAGTGGCAAGAAAAAGGCCCGGCTTTTTGGAAAACTGCATGGCGCTGCGGCCACTGATGACCACAGCCAGAGCGCCGGTCCTCGGCTGATTTGCCTTCATCCTGCCATGAAGACATGGTGAAACTACATAAGCCATAGTCTAAACTAGCAGTATCCCCCTTAGAAACCTCTATAGTAGTCCCCCTATATGATCCCTTATATCACCCCCTTTAAGGAGTGTAGACTATAGCTCACATGGCCACGGCTGCATGACAGAGAAGCGCGAAGCACGGAGGCTTGCCTTTGCAAGCTGTGCCGCAGTCTCAGCCGCAACGGTGATGGAATCCTTGTCAGTCCTCAGACCCAAATGCAAGGACTGTTGGATCAACGGGACGGATACGCAAATGGGTCTCGAACACGTCTCCGAATACAATCACCTCTCGGCTGCAATGAGTCCCTTTTGAGAAGACAGCAGATGTGAATTTCAGAAGAGCCCACGCTTCCCAGCCTTTCCCTCCTCGATTGCCTATCAGCAAGCTAGCATCTGTCAGCTTGTCGGCCATTTCCGGTGCTTTCTAAAACACTTACCAGCCTCGTCTACAGCCTGCGTCGCCTGCCGAATGCATTGCTGTGCAAAGGTCACTTGCGAATGCTTTAGATGGCGCGCAGCAAGATGCCGCAGCGAATGGCAACATGATACGCGTAGTCAACATGTCTCATAGTCTGGGAAGGGGGGACTGCCCCTGCCTTTTGCAAAGATTATCGCTATGGGATTTGAGTGCTAGCTTTCACAGCTTCAAAAAACACAGCAGGGTCCAACAATTTGCAAAACAATGGCCACAGGGCAACAACCAGTAGTTGGCAAACAGAACCTCTAGCAAGCTCTACGGAGCTAGCCCTGCCGATTTCGCACACAGGTGACAAACTGTGACAAACGCAGAGATGAAGGGCACCTCGTCTCCAGTGAGTCCACCAGCGCTCACCGCCTCCTTTGCAGCAGCATCTCCAATGGCCATCGCCTCCATTTCATCAAATTTCATCTCATTTCAGGTTTTCATACCATGCACACATGTCCTGCCTGCTGTTTTTCCATTCCGCCTGTGAAGCCAGTCCCTGCTGAACTCACGTAGGCCCGAACCGCCTGCCAGATTCACAGCACGCGACAGGTACATGCGGATTAAAGGCCTAAAGCCTAAAGCGACTGCCTGCGTCTGAACGTCCATGCCCGCCACAGCAGCTGCCTTCCGGGCAGCATCCCCGGCATAATCCGCCTGCAAGGACGATGTAGCTTTGAGCAGGTGTTTCGTCCCGCCCTCTGCCCAATGCCTGGTCCACAAGGGGCTTCCCTGCCGCCTCGAATCAACGCAGGCGCTATGCTGCTGCATCGTGCAAATCAAGAGTCAAGCGGTGAGGCAAAGGACCTGTGCAGCCACCTGTGCTGCAGTTGCGGCTTGGTCGGGGTTCGACAAATCCTCACAAATCGCACTGGTAAGGCTGGAACGGGAAGGAATGCTCTGAGGACCAAACCCCGGGCAGGCATTGACTGTACCACTCGTTGATAACCTTTAGTAGCTCTCGCTGGCGGGCTGAAGACTGGAAAGCGCAGACTCAGCGGCTCCAAGGCGCAAGCACTGCAACGGCTTTCTGCCTGATATACGATAGCAAGATCTAGGCCACATCTACATTGCTGCAAACGGTTCCACCTGGCAACGCTGGGTGCCCTTCCAGATCTTGCCCCCACACTGTCCGTACCTTGGAGGATGAACAAAGGAGCAACACATCAGACTTCGGGGAAACCATGAGCTTTCAAGTGCAAAGGCTCCCACGGCAGGGCTGGAACAAGCATTGGGCCGCCTGTTGCGGCTGGAGATTCCTGGTCGGTTCAAAATAACTTCCCAACGCCGCCAAATTCACATTCCCGAACTGCTCTAAGAAACAGAAACACAATGATATGATACAATGATATCATAAGGTTTCCCCACTGGGCACCAGTAATACCATGATGATAATGACAGCGTGCCCCAAATAGAAACAATAGTATCATGATGATAATGACATTATGACCCAAATA